AATTCCTTCCCAATATCCCATCTATCCCTGCCCTCTGGCAGTGGGAAACCATTTCCCTTGTCTTGTCACTCCAGCCCTTGTTCAAAGTCCCTCTCCAGCTCTTCTGGAGCCCTTTTAGAGGCTAGAAGGGGCTCTAAGGCCTTCCTGGAGCCTTCTCTTCTGCTACCTTTTGTTCCCCCTCCTGACAAACCCTTCTGACTGTCATTTTGCTTTTATGTAATATAGTTTCCAAAATACTTGGCCCATGGCACGTGGGTTGCTTTTTATAGCATCGGGTTAAACAGCACGACAAGATTTGTCAGAAGAGATCTTAATTTAGCTGCCTCCCATCACCACTTATGGAATTGCTATCCCAAAATGCAGCTTCCAATCCACTCCTAAATCCATACTTCTTTCTCCCTTGGATCTGTAGCACAGTTAATCCTGATTCCTCTTGCCCATCCCTTTGCAGGGAAGGATTCACTGGCTGTGGTGAACTGGAGCGTGGTTTTAGGAGAGTGATGGCATTCACAGGATCAGTCTGCAGAGAATTTCCCAGCTTTGGAAAGCATCTGTGTGGAAAAAGTTCAGAGTAGATTTTGGTGACACTTGTCTGGTTTGGGCAGCAGGGAAAATAACTGTAACCAGCCTCTCTCCTCTCAGCAGCTCAGTTGCAGTGCTAATATTGGGCAGCTTCATTTTCCTACCCTGGCTGTGATGTGTATGTGTGCAGCTGGGACATGTAATAAGTTAGGAATTTGATCTGTTTGGGAAAAAAGCCCTACTCTCTTGTAACAGGAGTTTTTCCTTGATCTCATTCATCCTGTGGCCACACACACGCTGCTGTTCTGGCACAGGCAGAGCAGGGCAGGACCATAAAATTGTGATGGATATGAGAACTATTAAAGTGACTAAAGTATCTCTTTGCTGAAGGCAAGAAAGGAGCCTGGGAGTCATGGAAAAGAGACAAGGAAAAAAGGCTTTGTCTGTGGAGTTAAATTATCCCTTCCCAAAAGTACAAACTACTCCAAAACTGTCTCGTTTTACTCTGAGAGGGATCAAATGAAGCCCATTTGGTGCCCTGAATGTCAGAAAGCAATGGAGGGGGGCTGTGGGGTGGTTTAGGTCTTTGGAAAGTGAACTGTGAGCTGGAGTTCTTTCAGGAGGTGCTGAGAGGAAAAATAACCTTCTAGAGAGGAAAAACATCTTTCTTTTCACCAGGAACAGAGCTTGAGAAACTGAAGCCATTGTTTTCGCTGTTCTGACATTAAGGGAGTTGTTATGGCTTTAAACCTGGAATTGCCAGTGAAATCATAGAATTGTAGATCAGTTTGGGTTGGAAGGGACCTTAAAGATCATCCCATTCCACCCCCTGCCATGGGCAGGGACACCTTCCACTAGCCCAAGTTGCTCCAAGTCCTGTCCAACCTGGCCTTGGACACTTCCAGGGATCCAGGGGCAGCCACAGCCTCTCTGGGCAACCTGTGCCAGGGTCTGACCTCGCAGTAAAGAATAAATAAATAAAATTTTCTTCCTTATGTCCAGTGTAAATCTACCCTTTTCCAAGCTAAAGCTGTTGTCCTTGTCCTGTCACTACAGGCTATGATCACAAGTCTCTCCCTGTCTGTCTTATAACCCATCTTTTAGTATTGAAAGGCCACAGAAAGGTCTCCCTGGAGCATTTTCTTCCCCAGGCTGAACCACCTCAACCCAACAAGAACTACAGATGGGACTGGGAGGCTTCCCTGGACCATGAGCTCAGGTCTGTTGGCTTTTGGGAGAAAGAACTCTGCTCTCTAGGGAAGGTACCAGGGAAGGGTTGTTGTGCTGTTCAAGGAATGGTTTCTGATTGCTGCTTGTTAGGAATACCCATGAATGAATTCTGGAAACTCTTCCTGTGTCCCTCTTCAGTGTCTTACAGCATCCATAACTTTCAAGTGGGATTGTTTCCCATAACGTGGACAGAGGGAATGTGCTGTCAGTTTTCTTATTCCCTGTCCCAGGGAAGGGGACTGTTGTGGCCCTTGTGCTCCTCAGGCTGTAGGTACATCTGTATTTCCTGCTCTGAGGGGAGGGTTTGCAGCCTTGCCAGCTTGCCTCTTCCCTATCTTTTATCTCTCCCAGGGGCTGATTCTTTTCCCCAAAGGATCAAAAAGCACAAAGAGTTGGCTGGTTATGACAGTGGCTGTAGCAGCCTTTCCCACTTTGCTTCCCTGATGCTTTCCAGCCCTCCAGGAAGATGTTGAGCATTGCTATAAACCTGAAGAATGCTCAGTGAAACCTTGATTTCTCTGAGCTTAGTGCTTGTTCCCCTTCTTGAAGTGACCTGTTAAAGGAACCAGTAATACATGAAAACTGAGGGAGCCTGGACCTGCTGAGTGTCCTGAGAGGCTCTTGAAGTGGAAGAGCTCATCCAGAGGGTTTCCAGCAATATATTGTATTCCCTGATTTTCCAAGTTGGGATTGACATATTAGGTCAGACTCTCAGAGAGCAAGTTTGAGGCTGATGAGGCACCATCAGTGCAGGGAGAGAATAGATTGGAGTGTGCTCATTTGGCATGATTGGGCTGGTTTCTCCTCCACCACAGAGTTTAGGACTTTCATTTGAACCATTCCTTAAGATACTGGAGTAGCTTTCAATCAATTCAGTGATTACTTGTTCTGTAGCTCATAAGTTGATAGGACTGAGAAGTTGGAGACACTTCTCTTGCAGCCTCAACACCACATCTTTTATAAAGACACATCTTTTATAAAGACACATCTTTTATAAAGACACAGGCTGAAGGAGGATTCATCCCTGAGTTTCACTCCAGATCCCTTAGAAGAGTTTTTTCTTCCACCTCTAACTCTGGTTCACTCCAGGGAGAAAGTTGTAACATGCCCTGGTAGTGACAAAGTTTCTACCTGCACATTCATGAAATACATTAGGTTATAAAGTTTTTTTAATGCTGTATCATCTTAACACTTCTGAGTGTGTCTGGATGCCTGAGCCTTCCATTATGTGGAGGGCTCTGTGCCAAGGAGAGCTTAAAAGGAAAATGAATATCATTTGGCAAAATTAGAGGTGGGTTTCTGGAAGCTCTAATAACTTTGGAAATACAGAGATCCCAAGATCTGGGGAAAAGGTGTCACGTGTTCCTGCTTCCTCTGGATCCTTCATGTTGGCCACCCAGTTGTTCTGTTGTCTTTGCAGTTTACAGCTTCACTATGTTCATTTGCTAGTCCTCACTGTAAAAGTTTTAATGACTTTCATCTTTAGACTTTTCTGTGGAAAATTTGCCTTATTCCTTTTTTTAAATAGACATCCACGAGGATTAAGGATGATATTGCCAGTAAGAACACGGATATGTTATCTGCTATTTTTGGGGTTTTGGAATCCATAGATCAACACAACCTGAATAAGTTCTTTGTTAGAAGATGAGAGATTTAACATTCCCTATTTTAGCAGGGAATTTGCTTCCCTCGTTGTGTTTCTTGTTCTACAGAGGAATTGTGTTATGAGCCTGGAATGCTTCCCTTTGCAGCAGGAGGTTTCCAATCCCTCTCAGCTTTGGGAAGTGTCTCGGTTGGCACGTTTCTCCAAGCTGGCATTGCATCTCTTGCCAGTGATTAACAGATCTCCTCTGCCTTTCTTGGGAGTCTCTGGAAGTCAGAGGGGGAAAAAAACACACCTTGGATTTAAAGAACACATTGTTTAATGGTGCTTTTCCTGTGAAGGAGAAAATTCTTAGCAGAACAAATGGAATTGTGTTATTCCAGGAACATACACAGTGAGGGTGAGCTGTGCAGAGCCCTGACTCACTC